TAATATTACAAGCAAGCTACAATTGTTGCCGACTTTAATCAATATCAATATAAATTAATCTAACAAAATATCAATATGAATTAATCTAGTCAAAATAAGATTACAATTTGATTAACACAAATACAAAGAGAAAAAAACAGAAGGAAAAGTAACAAGAGTGACGCAGTGGCGTGAGAGCCGTCACCTTGGATTGAGTTTGCAGCAGCAAGCAATTAAAGAGCGGCTCTTCAAGTTTGAAGCATTGGGATTGATATCTTGCGAGAGGACTCCTTGTATACACTGTTGCTTTTCCGTGGAGGTAACGCTATTCTATAAGGTTTATTAATATAAATGTTTTCAACCTTTGGTCCAAAACAACATCCTCTGGGCCCGGAGTTAAAAAAAAAGAAAAAAAAAGAAAAAAAAAGAAAAAAAGAGGGCGTTGCACTTGCATTGCTCGCAGCAACACAACAATGCAAAATAGAAGCTACACTCAGGCACTCAGGCATTTCCACAAGCAGTTGGTGGGCAGCTTCAACGCATACCAGAGTAGCAAACTCCGCCACCTCCAAGGTGTTTTCTGAAGAGGAGAGGTGCCGTTGTACCTCCTTGTGTCTTTGTAGGTCCGCTACTACTTCAAATCCTTACATATAGATTTGGATTTTAGGAAGAAAAAATAATAGTAGTAATTAACGGCATGTGTATGCTACCAAACTTATTCCATCCAATGATATGATACCATAATGAGTATATTGATCGAAATATAATCATATAACACATGCATCAGAGAGTTTCCGTTGAAAGATCCCTTAAATAAGCTTATTTGAAGGACACAATTATAGGACCCACATAAACTGTCTATTTTGTAGATATATATTCAAAGATCATATCTACAAAAAATCACTTGAATCCGATATCATTTGTCCACTCAATTGAATTATTGAAATTTAAGTACTTTCTTAAAGTACCGTGTTCATTGATTTTGCATGACACAATTGGATATCAAAATGGTTTCTGCTTTGTCTAATTTTTTTTTGCAAGGATGATCTATGAATGTAGACTTCAAAAATAGATGATTTGGATCAATGAAAAAAAAATTCTCAGGGGACCTTAAAGGGTAGGGCCACTCCAAGCCTAGAAGTGGCTCCAGCCAGTTCAGCATAATTTAAACAATTTAGATTATGTTCAACAATACTTAGATGGTTCAATCAAAATTAGTTTTGGGAATCAGCCCCCAAAAAAGTCATCAGTTCAGTTGCAGCAGTTGCCAACCCCTGGCCAATCCCAGAGACATATTACTGCCCGACATTCTTTCACAACCTCATCTTCCACTCTAGAACGAGACCTAGAGTTAGAAAAGGCTATGATAGATTTTAAATTAGAATATATATATATATATATATATATGAAAGGGAATCAAATGCAGAAACTATCCTAATTCATAAATAAAGGAAGAAGAAAAAAAAACACGAGTTATCTATATGTAAGGGTGGATTCGGTTCGGCAATCAACTTGAGTAAGGAAAGTCGATTACTGGACCGGAGAGAAGCGGATTGCCTATGCATAAACTATCCTAATTAATATTCCCCATATTTCCAAGCCTTCATCACCGGGTAGAATTCCTGATAATAGGTACTTCATTTTTTATGAGCTTCACTAACGAATGCAACTAGTTTATTCTCTTGAGACAATATAACACCTATACCTAGTCCACTAACAACACATTCAACCTATCTTCTATAGCGAAATTCTATAGTGAGGGTGCCATATATGGACTACCCATATGGACCTCCATATTAGCCACATGATCATTTCATTAAACTTAAGTGAAGTTACTATTCAGTTGAATCATGTGGCTAATATGAAGGTTCACATCAATAGTCCATATATGGCACTCTCACCATAGAACGACTCATCTTATATATATATATCCCCTTCTATTAAGGGATCCATCAAATAATTTTATTTAAGGGACACCTTTTAGGGTCCCTTAAATTATTTTCAACGATCCAAACCGTCTATTTTTCAAGTCTTCATTCATAGATTATTTTTGTAAAAAATTAGACAAATTGGAAAACGTTAAGACATCTAATTGTAACAAACAAAATAGATGAACACAGTGCTTCAAGAAAAGACAAAAATAACAACCATATAATTGTGGTCAAATGGTTTCGGATTCAAGTGATTTTTCGCAGAGATGATCTTTGAAGAAATATATAAAAACTATACGGTTTGGATCATTAAAAAAATAATGTGTGGTGGGCTGATGTGTGGTGAGCCTTATAAAGGTGTCTCTCAAATAATCTTATTTGAGGGATCCCTCAACTGAAGGGGAAATCGAACACGGGACCTTGGTTGTGGGGGTAACTTCTCTTAACCACTTAAGTTACAAGCCTCTTGCAAATATGAGATTATTTTTTCAATGTTATTTCAAGTACTCATGATTGAGTAAACAAGCTAACAAATATTTAGTCCTAAACAACCTAACAAATATATCATAAGTTCAAATCTCGTGGCTAATAAGTATTAAACAAACTAATATTTAATTAGTGATGGAAAAGAGAAATCAAACTCATGTAATTAATCTCCCATTACGTTTAGCATGGACAAGAAAAGTATTACCAGTTACAACTAGCAAAATAAAAGTTAAAAATCTTGAATCCGACTTGTACTCGGAGTCAGAGAATATGCTTGCCGCATATATATTGTGTAAAAACTTGGACCACAAGAGTTCATATGAGTTCATTATAAAATGTTCGGTTGTCCTTTTTTCTTTTGTAAAGGCAAAGTGAGAAACACTCACAAGGCTTGAACCTTAACCAAACCCTTGGAAGTTGCTTTGCTGGCCAAAAAAATCCCCCTTGGAAGTTAATGGTTTCAAGTGTGGCTAAAAAGGCACTGTAAAATTTGTATTGAGTGTCATTTAGTTGGGTTTGTAGGCTTTTATTCTTTTGGCCGGAACTAGACTCTAAGACTTACTTGGCGGTACCTACAATTTTCAGAGACTCATGAGGTTCACTCTTGTAAAGGAGAAAAAGTTAAAAAGTAAGTACAACTTCTAAATTACCCAACTCCTAAAAAGATTATGGCTATTGACAAAGAGGTGGGTATAGCTACAACCCAAAAACATAAAAGGAATGTTGAGTCTATTCATCCGTTACCAATTAATTTTGAGTTGGATCTTGTGCATCATATTTCGAGTCAAAACAACTAGATGATATTTTGACCAAGCAAATGAAAGGCTAGGTTGTTGTTAAGCTCAAACATGTTATTTACTATTTTCCCATTTGCGTATCTTAAAAATAAAAAAATTATATTTGTCATTTTTTTCTTGCAAAGCAGTTTTTCAAAAACCGTTTTTATAAAACGTTATCAGACCAACCCTTGAGTTCGGTCTCTCTTTGTTTATCTCTATTATTCTCAAGCATCTTCTGATTGGGTCTCAACCATTGGTAAATCAGTCATACTACGACTTCAATTCTTGTTTCTCTTTAAATAAGTCAATTGCAATACCGAGATAAGCTTAGGATTCATGGCCAAATATAATTTCTAGCAACTTATTCAACTATTTATATGGACTAATGTGAACTTGATGTTACTAATTCATCCATATTATCACATGTCCATGTACGGTAATCAATATAATGTGTTGAATGTCAAGTTCATCATTTAGGCTAGAGATATGAGGTCAGATTCGTAGTATTAGACCGGCTTAACAATGAGGTCTGCATTTATTAAAAGCTAAGATCATTCTTGAAGATTTTACTCTTGACCAAATAAGTAACACATTATTGGTTTCCTTTTTTACCCCAAGGAAATTTACCTCTCATAAGTCAGAGCAAAAGGTAGAAACAAGCTTGGAAACTGTTAAATAGAAATTCAATCACATATAATGCTGTGATATTATTTTGCACTGATTTGTTTTCTATTTTAGGAAAACTAATTATCATATCATCGCAGTATATTCATGAGATCTCCAATAATTCAATGTGGAATTCAACTTTAGAAGTTACTTTTCAAGTCAACTTAGCAATGAAATTATAGTTTTACCCTTGTAATTCCAACCGAAATATTTATAAACCAAAATAATTAAAATTGAAAAGAAAAAATATTTCACTGCTTGCACACCTAACCAAATATGGCATGAGCTCGGCGACAATGCCAGAGTAGCTAGAAAGGGAAGGAGGATAGGGGTTTTTTATTTATTTTTAAAATTAATAAAAAATATAAAAAAATAAAAATTATTGAGATGTTCTATTATTGGGAAATGACAATGCTGCCCTTTTGCATTATCAACCAGCTTGTTATTATTATTGTTTTTTTTTGTTAGAATTTATACCTTGTAATTTGCAACAAGCAAGTAAAAGCTGGACAATAATGAAGTCACTCAGACTTGGAGTTGGAACAGTTGAAAGTGTGAGGATTCTCTTGATTGCAAAAGGATATCTACCTAAAAGAGAGAGTGAATTAGAATACATATAGTCTGGCCAAAAGAGAAATAAATAATACTAATAAATATAAATAAATATGAAATTCCAAGTAGGGCCAAAACTGACTATAAAAGACCCCCCCTTTCTCTCTCTGTCCTTCATACTCTCTCTCAGCACTCTCAGTCCTGTCTCTGCTTCATTTTGACAAGAGGCAGAACAAGTTAATAGTTGGCACAGATCTTTGAGAGAGAGAGAGAGAGAGAGAGAGGCTTAGAAGAAGGGAAAGTGTAGATTTTTTGTTCTGTACTTTCCACTTCTGAGTGAAGAGGAGAAAACAAGAGAGCCAATCTGTATTGCCTCGTAAATTTCCCTCTCTGGGTTTTTTTTTCTTGAAATCAAAGGATTTTTCAGCCCATTGTTTTCTGTTTTGCCTCATTGAAGAATTTGAGAGCCGCACTTTAATCCTATACAAAACCCACTTCCCCACATTGGTCACATTTCATTTAAACCAAAAAAGTGAGTGAAAGATCTGGTAGTTAGTTTTGTTTTGTTCATTATCTTCTCATCTCTTGCCTTTGCAGAGGGAGAGATATGGCTGAGACCACAACCAGAGTTCTGATACCAGAATCATTTCAAGGGGGCACATATGACATTGCAGGCCAAATTGGGCTGATTTGGGAGCTAATCAAAGCGCCATTGATAGTACCTTTGCTCAGAGTTTGTGTCTACATTTCCTTGGCCATGTCTCTCATGCTCTTCTTTGAGAGGCTTTACATGGGAATTGTCATCATTTTGGTCAAGCTCTTCTGGAAGAAACCAGAGAAGCGCTACAAATATGAGCCCATTCAGGAGGACCTGGAACTGGGCAGCTCCAATTTCCCTGTGGTTCTAATCCAAATCCCTATGTTCAATGAAAGAGAGGTACATGCTGGTTTCCTATCAAAATCTCTCTGTTTTTGTTTTTGTGTGTTGTTAGATTTCACAAGCATTGTTGTGTGCTGTTATCTGTTTGTGAGAGAAAAAGCCTTAAAAGTATGGTGCTTTTTGTGTGTTCTCATGGGCTTTTGGGTCAGGTCTACAAGATCTCTATTGGTGCTGCATGTGGGCTTTCATGGCCGTCCGATCGTCTTGTGATCCAAGTCCTTGATGATTCAACTGACCCTACAATCAAGGTAAACTTTCCTAAATTCGGAAAACAACCCATCATTTAGATCACCCCACTAATTATTCTCCCACATTTCCCGTTAAAAATGTAATCTTTCTTCATCATTTTTCCTTCCAACCACCACCGCCAACAAATCTCATCATTCTAGTGACAAGGGTCTTTTCAATGTGTTTGTTAAAAAGCCACAGAGAATGAAGTAGCCCAATTATTGAGTTTTCTGGCGTGACCCTTGTGGTTTCTGACATGGGTTTTGTTTCATTTTGGCCATTTGACTCGTCGCATTAACAAAATGGGCAAGTGGGTTTTTAATAAAACTATCTAAAACTGACGTTTTTGCAGCAAATGGTGGAGCTCGAGTGTCAAAGGTGGGCAAGCAAAGGCATAAACATAAGGTACCAAATCAGAGAAACCAGGGGAGGCTACAAGGCTGGGGCTTTGAAAGAAGGCTTGAAGCGCAGCTACGTGAAGCACTGCGAGTACGTGGCCATCTTCGACGCCGATTTCAGGCCTGAACCAGACTATCTCCGGCGAGCCATCCCTTTCTTGGTCCACAACCCAGACATTGCCTTGGTTCAAGCTCGATGGAGATTCGGTAAATTAATTATAATTTCATTCAATTATCTGATCATTATTATTAATTATATTATTATTATATGTTTTTTTTAACCTACCCTTCAATTGCGCTTATTAAAATTTTCAGAGTGTCGGTGGTCTGATTTTGTGGATTTTTCTTTTTGTTTTTCCTTTTGGGTATGTATTTGGGCTTTTATTTTTGATTTTCCGTCGGCGGGATCAGTTTGTGTGTATAGTGTGCATGGGCAATGGGTCTTCCAGAGTACAACCCATCAATCACGGCGTCGGGCCCACACAGAGCAGCCCTTCTTGGCCGTCTCTGATTTTGACACCTGTTTGTCTGCTAGCCCTTCATCAAGGGCTGCTTGGTACCCACGTCTGGAAATATTAGAAAGTACTTGTCATGGACGGAACGGAAGTGTGATTCATGTTCAATTTGTCAGTTTTATTGCCATTAATTCGTGCTTTTTCTCTTCTAGATTACGTTTTCATTGGTCTAATGCAGAAAACAAAAATAAAAGTCCAACCATTTATTTTTCGACTGATGTTTTCTTGTCATCTAGCTTGTTTATTATGTGGAAATATTAATTTGGTGGGTCGGTTAATTCACAGTCTGTCAACATAACGTGTCAAACATTCACTACAAATTTTGATTCCATGTCTCTCGTATTTATGGTAAATGACGTAAGAGCCCCCAACATAGGATTAGGATCCCTCACTCAAGTAGCAAAGTCAGTGTCACCTTCTTCTTGTGAACCGGCATGATCAGATGCTAGAAAGGCGGGGTAGGTTTGTCATTTTGCTGCACGAGAACAAGGACCGTAATTTTGTGACAATAAGTTGCCTTATGTAAACCCCGGATTGTACGGTTCCAACGGTCAAATATTTCGTAAGCGGCCGGAGCAGAGTGAGTTTCCGGAAACTTGAGTGACAAACGTATCAATTTACGGACTCAAGATTTTTAGCCGCTAGTGCACTGCTCACGTGGTGTTGTGTTTACTAAAACTAGGTGGCACCATAGTAAGCCTTGCGGTGGACCCACATTTTCTCTGCTCCAGCCTTTACCGACACTTGGTTTGTCGTGCTCATGCTAGCGTGGCCAACCTTCATTTGTGTCACGTGACCACCAGACCAGTTCCCTACTTTTAAATGCTTTTTGAGTTTCTGTCCTATTTTTGATGGGGTCCACATCTTTTTATATTTTAATCATTTATTACATTCACATTGTTTTTTTCTTTTTTATACCAGTAATAATCTAAAATATTCTAAATTAATCTAACTTGGGTGCAAGACGTGAGCTAACTGCCTTTGACCAACTTGTCTAACATCCGTCTGCACATTCAGATTATTTATATTATGTTACATTTATTTTTTTTTCTCTCTCTTTTTTATTTCTTTTTTCTTTTTTTGGGGTTGAGCTAAAATTGTTTATGTGGTTTTGCAGTGAATTCGGATGAGTGCTTGTTGACCAGAATGCAGGAGATGTCATTGGATTATCATTTCACAGTTGAACAAGAAGTTGGGTCAGCAACACATGCCTTCTTCGGTTTCAATGGTAAACCTCGTTTTAACAAATACCACTTATGGTCAATTTGAATTATCATCCATGTTGCCCTTTTTCTTTTTTCTTTTTTGTCAAAAATATTTATCTTGATTTGTCCCTGTCTATTAATTGGTTGACATGTGCAAAGTGCTGGTTCAGGGCTCCCAATTGGTGGGGACTAATTGGAAAATATGTACATATATTTGGTATGTGAGAGTGACTTGAACATATGAGAAAAATAGAAGATTGACCAAGTGTGCAAGACTAAGACTTAGCTTTAGACTTGCAGGGAGGGATGTTACACAGTCATTATCATATCTTTCTTCATCAAAGTTATGTTTTTTATAATAAATGTAATTGGTTGACTTCTAGGTCCTTCATTCCTGGCTAAAATCACGCCATTGCCAAAGTTTTGAATTTTAAAAGAGACAAAGTATATGGTCTTCAATAGTCGAACTGGATAAATTGAGAATTTGAACTCAAGTGATTGTCAAGTTACTAATCAGACGCAGTAATTACTAGTTACTTCTTGTTAAAGTAACTTGATAAAGCATTGCATATATTTTTGCTCATATTTGCCCTGCATATTAGTAGTTTCTTGCTAAAATGGTAATGCATATTCTAATTACAACTGCAACAGTCAACTCAGAGTATTTGCAGTTCTGAATTTGACATATGAAAACATTGCAGGGACCGCTGGTGTGTGGAGAATTGCTGCTATTAATGAGGCAGGCGGGTGGAAAGACCGGACGACAGTGGAGGATATGGATCTTGCTGTCCGGGCTAGTCTCAGAGGCTGGAAATTTTTGTACCTTGGTGAACTTCAGGTATTTGTTAACCGAATATGTATGTACATTGAACAAATCAAATGGTTCATCCATAGGTGAAGTCTAACTACTATAGGGATGACATGAACACAATTTCTGATCATTATCTATGTTTCAGGTGAAAAGTGAACTTCCAAGTACTTTCAATGCCTTCCGTTTCCAGCAGCACAGATGGTCTTGTGGTCCTGCTAATCTGTTTAGGAAAATGATGATGGAAATAGTAAAAACTAAGGTGAGTTCGTTTTAATTATATTACTCACTTGTGCCCCTAATGCAATTTCTTCTTCTTCCTTCTTCCTTCTTCCTTCTTCCTTCTTCATGTGTTATAATTATGTTTCTTGTATGTATGTTGCAGAAAGTTACATTGTGGAAGAAATTTTATGTCATATACAGTTTCTTCTTTGTCCGAAAGATCATAGCCCACATGGTGACCTTCTTCTTTTACTGCGTTGTACTTCCTCTGACCATTTTGGTTCCTGAAGTTTATGTTCCAATCTGGGGAGCAGTTTATATTCCTTCCATCATCACTATTCTAAACTCAGTTGGAACTCCAAGGTCTTGTAGACTCTACACTTGATTTCTTCATTAATTACTTTTATTACATGTTCTTCAATCTTATGAAAGTAATCAATCTTCTTCTTGAATTTATGCAGGTCGATTCACCTGTTGTTTTACTGGATCCTTTTCGAGAACGTGATGTCTTTGCACCGGACCAAGGCAACTTTGATTGGCCTGCTAGAAACAGGGAGGGCCAATGAGTGGGTTGTCACTGAAAAACTGGGAGATGTTGTCAAGAACAAAGCAGCAGAGGCTGCCAAGAAACCAGCCCCCAAATTTTTCAAAAGGCCAAAGTTCAAGTTTGGCAACAGGTAAAATTTCGTTAAACACTTTTATTCTTTCTACTGCAGACTTGCTTATTTTATTTTTCCATGTGCAATGTGCATAGAAATTTGTAACTATTTGCATTGACACCACATCTACACTGGCACACAGAGAGCTCTGTCTTTTCTGCATAACTTTAAGCCTTGGCCAAAAAACCAAATCACATGTACCATATGTTTTAATTATTTGCCAACATTAACCTAATCCCACAAGTGAGAATAATTTTCTGTTTTTACCCTTTTCATTACTGGAGCTCAGAATCTTTGCATTGGTCTATCCACCTAAGTATCATATAAATCAACTGCTGCTGGCATATGACAGCAGATGAGAGTTTATTAAGAGTAAACATGTGGGGTTAGGAAAATAATATTATCTACTGGTGTTATGAAACCATGCCAAGCCTGTTCTTTATTACCTTCTGCTTTGTCCTGTAATGTTTTTTCTTATTCTTTCCAACATTTCTACACACCATTTTCCCCTAATATGCAGTCTTTTATATCTGTTGATCCTTGGCTAAACATTAACAGGCTTCACCTCTTGGAGCTGGGATTTGGGGCCTTTCTGTTCGTCTGTGGATGCTATGATTATGTGCATGGGAAGAACAACTACTTTGTATACCTCTTCCTCCAAACCATTACGTTCTTGATCTGCGGATTTGGCTACGTTGGAACCATCATCCCCAGCGCTTAATCAGCAGCGCTTCATAGTTAAATTATATAGATTAGTTGACACAATCTCCCCTATTGTTTCTCATGCCATGCCAGCATATTTCTCTTCTTCAACAAAGATTTAAGTAAGTAGGGTTCTATGAGCAAATGTTGGTTGCAACTTGGATTATTTTCAGCTGAGTAAAATTCATCTTGCGATGGAAAAAGAACAAAAACAAAAAAAAAAGGTTCTACCTGCGCCTTCCTCGTCGAATCTCATGTCACAGTTCAAGTATACCTGGAAATTTTCAGAGAAAAGCCAAATGCTGATAGCTGAACACATTATACAGAGTGAATTGTCAAGGAAGAAGCAGACGACATGGTTTTTTTTTATAAATGTTTTTTCAAGGACAAGGAAGTAGTACTATTCTCTTTAAATAGAATGCTTGTAATTGTGAAGTTTTGTTCTTCTTTCTTGGGTTTGCCAGCTATAGTTTTTTTTTTCTTGGATTGTGAGGAATAAGCTCCTAAAAAAAAAAAAAAGGAAAAAAAAATTAGTTGAAGTTGTAGTCTTGTAATCAAAATTTACTCATCATTTGATAATCATCATATATTCATATGCTTAGTCATTTTAGATTGTATCAGATTGATCAACTCCATTGATTAATAAGCTTGACAGTCTTTGTAAGGCTACCAATGGTTTCCTTCGGTCCCTTCATCTGAAATTATGGTGGCAGAAATGGTTAAATTATTTCTGATTTAAAAAAAATGGTTAAATGATTCATGGAATTCTGCTGAATTTTTTAAATAAAAAAAAAAATCAAAGTCTGCTTAATTTTATGTGAACCATACACCTTTCTGTGATTCTTGATAGCCAGTGTATGCAACACAATTTCTTCTTTTTTGGTCGAATGCAACACAATTTCTAAAGTCTGGATATATGCACGTTGCCTGTCTGACTCAGAGTCAGAGCTTTGTCCTTCTAAAGGCCCCACTTGCATATGTAAATCATGAGCTGTGACATAAAGGCACTAGAAGCAGCATCCAAGAAAATTGAAATTCATCGGTTGACTATTCACACTGATTATTTTTACTTTATGCTGAGGGGTAATGCTTGGGTCACTGGCATTAGGGGTGAGAGATTCTTAGTCGTTGATTCAAATGAGATTTACAATGTATAAACGATTAGATTCCGGTCATTTGTACATGGGAGACTGATCTTAACAAAAAATTTAAACCAGACTATATAAAATATGGGTAACAAAATGATGAAGATATGTGATAATAGACCGCTTGTGTCGTTAGATTGTAAAACTGAATTACTAATCATGTTGATTGTTTCTTAAAATTGTGATCCAAATTCACGGTCATACAATATAAAAATATGTATGGCAAGAAAATATTAACAGCTATAATATTACTCGAGTGTGGGAGATTTTTAATCGTTGATGGATATGAGACTCATGTTAGTAAATGCATCAACAATTGTACTTGCATGTAGGCACGGTGTTGTTATAAAGTATTTATGTTGTCAGATTATGAAACTGATTCAGTAATTATGTTGATTCTTTCTTGAATGCGTGATACATATCCTCAATTAGACAATGTAAAGATATGTCTCGCAAAAGACATGTCTCAGAAAAATGCAAGTAGGGCAGGACATTCTGGAACATGTCACTTTTCATGCCTATGTCTCAATCATTTAATTTAATTTATTTTATTTTTTTGATGCGATCAATCATTAATTTGTAGCCTGTGATGATATGTATAATTTCATCACTCTGCCTTGTTATAATTAATTAGTTAAAAAGGATAAGCAAAAGAGGTTTAAACTTGAGATTAAAGTAAGCATATGATGATTATGGTTTTGGGTTTACTTGCATTTGAAGTGTCATTATCTGTTTAAACTTTTTCTTTACTTGAATCAATGTGCGTCTGCACTCTACAGAGAGACCTAGCTACTATAATAACCTCCAGTGCAGGCCTTGTGATAATAATAATGTGTATACATTATAATACAGGGAGGAGATTATTTTTTTATTTTTTTATTTTTTTTAATGCAGATAAAATATACAATGGAAACTTCGAAAGCAAGTTGCTCTGATAGGTTAGTCATACAAAAGAGATAATATTAACATGGCAGAAAACAATGGGCTGATTGGAGGAACAACCATCTCCCTCTTTCATCCACCTTTTTGGTCAATTGACAAAGTTACCATATACTTATAATTTCATTTTGATCTTTTAATTCAGTTTTTAAGTTATGTGGTTCTTCATTTATGTGTCATTTTCGTCTTTGCCGTCAATCTCGTTAACTTTTTAAAAAAAATATATTAAGAATAAAATCATACATTTTATCCATCACTTATATTCAATTTTATGTATAAGAAACTCATGGTTGTAAATAGAATAAATAAAGAAAAATACTGATTTTTTTTTTCTCTCTCTTTTGTGGGGTAGGGTAGGAGGGAGCAATCAAACTTAGCATATACCACATAGTTATTCTTTTCTCCATTATTATGATGTTCAGAAGAATGAACAATGCATTCTGGTAATGCAGAGCTGGCCATGTTCAATTTAGAGGGTGAGTGCCCACATGCTCTCCATGGTAAATACAGCAGGTCTTCATATTGCCAACTACACTTTGTCAGAAATGTCACCATGTGGTCTTTTGTGACATTATTATTACAATCCACAAATGGTGTGGTTCCTACCAAACTCCTAACTTCTAAGCCAAAAAGCTTTTGTTGCATTGCATTATTGTATACAAATTTAAGACTTACTTGATCCCTACTCCTAACTCCAAACTCCTATATCTACATGCTCACCTTTTCTTTTTCTTTCTTTTTTCTCTCTTTTTTGTAACAAATCCACCTAGACTTACTTGTTCAAGGTTTTTTTATAGATCAAATTCAGCAAATAATACACATTACTTAAGTCGTAATCTGATCAATTAGGTTTGTTAAATGCGACCGTCTATCTATATTTACGTGACTGAGAATAATTTACTAGTGTCGAAATCATTTATGCATTTGGGAGACTTATGCTAATAAAATCTGTGATAAAGAAACAAGGATAACCAACAAAAAACTCTGAAAATGGTAGTTGAGTTGAGAGAGCAAAGAATGGCATAAATGAGGTGAACGAGTTTTTTTGAAGTGTCGGCGGCAGTATTGAGATTTAACTTCAACATATTGTATGGTCCATGGTTTGATTCCTTTATGACCAAAACATAAATAATTGATTTCTTTACGATATCATATTTATATAAAGTGGCACATGCCTAGTAGATGCTTACATCAGTGTATAGATCAGTTGTCTTTTTCAACAACTTCCAACCAGTAAGATTTGGAAAAATTAAAAAAAGAAGAAAAGGCTAAATGGACAACTTCTCCAACCGACACAGAGAGAATTAAGGGCGTCCGGCAGTCCAAATGCAACGTAGTTTTTCTTGTTTCTTTCACCAATTTAACAAGCCTCAGAAAATTTAGCATTTGACCACGGGTCTAGCTCAGAGGTCTCATGTTCGAATTCTCACGGTATTATAGTTTAGACTATTGCTTGTACTAAAAAAAAATAAACATTCTATTTATATTATTTGTTTGGAAGGTTTGCCTGGGAATTTCTTCTGCGTCCGCCTCAGATGTGCGTATGAAATTTAATATGTCATTGTCAAAGACGTTAACCTATCTGACTCATATGACAGGTAGGTATAAAAGTAGGTATTTTCTTTTCTAAAGTGAGAAGTTACAAAACCCTTCAGAACTATTTCGACATTTAGACATGCAGAATGTGTGTTGAAATTATACTACAGTAATTCATCGCCACCGCGTGTATTGATTGTTGATGTATTATAAGTTTTATCTGCATCAACGGTCAGAAAACGTCCATGCTTACGTCTCTAATTTGTCAATAGATTGTATGATAAGTTGGTGAGGGGTCTCCTCACAGTCTCACACAGACAATTGCTATGTGCTGGCTTGGGATAATTGGTATTTGGATTGAGTCTTGTCTTGTATTGACCATTGCCCCTCAATTATGGAACTCAAGCGTCAATTCTAGCATTGGCATGGGGTCGGCTCCCGTTTAATAAAATGCCACATCTCTCTCTTTCAATCTCTCTCTCCATCATCTTCCTCTGTTTTTTTTAAGTGCAAACGATTCTAGGAAGGGGGGAAATTGAAACTAGAATCTCGGGTGAATGAGTAAATGTTCTTAGCCACTTGAACTACAAGCTTATTGCCACCGTCTTTCCTATAGAAGAGCTGTCACATGATAAATAGAGAACTTTAGTTGTGCATGTGATTTTGTTTTTGTGTATAAGTAATACAGAAATTAAGCGGATCTAATCTTAAGAAGTATATAAAGGTTGACACATGACACAATGAGAACAAGCACGTAACGTGTTGAGTTTGAATCTATGAAATCTATGAAATCTATGAGATGATGATGGTGATGATGTGGGAATATATGGCAAAAAGAAGGGAACCAATAGTTTAGAGCCACATCATCCCATCCCATTCCATCACACATCGATCTGCAATGAATAAAATAAAACTTATAAGAGAGTGATTAACGGTGAGGCATGTGTAGGGATCACCATTCACCAATGGTGAAGCAGCATGTCCAAGACCAAGAAACAGACGAGAGATAGATTTATAAACAAAATCCTGAAATAAATGCAGAAAAGGATGCCCAAAAGTCCAATTTTCCTGCTGGAATTAACATGCTTGCACACATTTCTGACCTTGCCCTACGTTTTTTTCTTTATTATTATTATTTATAAATCGATTGTCTGCATTCATTTTCTAGGGGGAAAAGAAAGGTGGAAAAGAAAAAGGAGGATATAATTTTGTTGACCATGTGATTTGTGGTGGAATGGTTGATACTAATTTCAGGCATTAATTGGGTTTAGTGTGGAAGTTGACATAAGTAGTTGGTGGACCTTACTTTCATCAACACGCCCAAACGCCCAAAATTGAAGGCACCCTTCATATGCACCCATTTCTTTGATATGTGCCCATCCTAAAATTACGACAAACAAAGACCATATTCAATCTCAACAAACAAAAACAAAAAAATTAAACTTGTCTTGAGCAAAAGGCCGGGCAACCATATGAATACCCAAATCCATAGTGAATAGGATTTAGTAGGGCTGGGCAACCGAATCAAGCCGGACCAAATGGCCGGAACCGCCCACCAAATCGACGGTCCTAAATCCAATTTAGGATGAGGTTGAAGATTTTTGTCCCACGGGAATAAGTTTGGTGTGCTAAGCTATGAGTGTAGAGTAATTAATTTTTTTTTTTTTTTTTTTTTTTTTTTTTTTTTTTTTTTTTTAAGTGTTTTTTTAATTTAAAAAGATTGGAAAAGGCCATAACCTTATCTTGGACTTGGACTATAATAAGAACAAAGACTCCAACTCAAAACAACCCGAATTGTACATCTCCAAGATCTAACCCAAATGCTCGTCTTATGCATTACATCCCTCAAAGTTCATATCCTCTTACAAGACCCGGTTTAGTTTTTGTTCTTTTGGGCCTTGTGCCCTCTCATGTACCCAAAAAGATAAAAAGAACATGTGGAAATTGAGAATTCAGTAGTTGTATACTAAAAAATTAACAAATAAAAAGATTTGAGCTCAAACCAAAAAGTTTTAGGACGAGAAATTTTTTAAAGGTTTCAAAAACAATTAAAACCAATATGTTTCTGAAATACATAAATCATATAATCACAAGGAGAGTCAAGTTAATTTTTTTCAATACTCATCATTTTAAGGTGTAAGATTTCAAATTCTAGGATTAAGACAGAATTCTTCCAATCTAATGTGGCAGTAGTAAAAAGTTATTGTCAATTGCAACTCTCTCATCTGTTATGTTTACTAGTTATGGGGCTGTGACAGCACCAACATTGCTAAGTTGTTCATCGAATCTAATATTGTCCGAAATTGATGAAAAGTTGGCTCAGGGACTTCAACTTGTAACTGACTAGCAGAGTAAGCCTTGCTATTCAAGTTAGGACATCATACTAAATAGCCTTTCATACCAATACATCCTCACCAGGAGAATGAGCTTCGATGGACCTCAGCGTTACTCCAACCGAGCTCTACAGAAGAAAACAGACAAAGTCTAGAGACAGACTGGAGACCACCAGAAGAACAGTGGTTCTGAATCTTCTGATGAGGCTGTAAGTAAAAACCAAGATGGCACTCAATTCTTCAAGCGTGTTTTATATGAATGATGTGGATCAACACCTCTATGTTGTTTAGCTACTTAATCAGCTTAGATCAGTCCAGGCGGAGGAAGTTTGATATTGGCATATTAGCTGCTCCGAAACAATTGCATCTATGAAAATTATATTTACGCATTTCACTCGCTAACAAATATGTATTTTCAACTGTACTCATCTACCAGAATTTCAAGAATTCAATTCCATTATCAACTACCTTTCCCACTGCCTATATGAGGATGGTATTGTTGTCCACATATAAGGCTCCTTCAGAATTTCTCTTAGGTACTCTAGCTGCTCAAAACCACCTTGAAGTTCTTCCCACTACAAGAAACAGAAAATAATCATTCTGTTAAAAAGCACAACTAGAAACCACTCTTATCCAATAAACATGCAAGAAGTTCGCTATTGATGAATCAGATTTCAATATTTAGGCATGGCTAAGAATTCTATTGTCGGCATGAAACAACCTTCTCCGAAAACCTATACGCTTATCATCAGCCTCATTTGTGTTTACACCTTCTAGTGCAGAGGAATTTGTTCCCTAAATACTGTAGTGGTACTAAAACTCAGATAAATCTGTACATGATTGAAACAAGCTGATCTTTGGCATGGGCACGAATAAAGGTGAGCTATGGTCTCAACATGCCTAGGCACATATGCGCAGCATAGAAAAACTAAACTAGAAAAACCTTCAAAGTAAAGAACAAAACATAGAGCTTGTGCAGGTGCGTTCGCGTGTGTCTGTTAAGGTGATAATTCATGGATGAAGTGAGAACTCACCTCTTGATGAGATAACGACACAACTTTCCAACCAGCAGCAGTTATGTAGCGCCTTTTTAGCATAGTATGTCCCAAGGGCACCCCTGTATGGAGCAGAAGGATATCAATTGAATAGTAACTGGGGGACTAAGAGTAGTCAATGACTCATATGAACACATGCACAAAGAAGATGCTGCAATATTATGTGAAGGATGCTCACCAGTATTTCTTGAGAAATGTGTTGGGCCATCAATCTCCATAGCAACCTTCTTATCAATCAATACAGCATCCAAAGTGTACCCATCCACAACATATTCTTTGACCCAATCGAGACCAGTGCTAACAAGAAGACGGGCGACTTCCTTTTGAAATGATGATGTCATTTTCTGATTAAATCTCTTAGTTTTACCAGCACGAGCAATTTTCTCCTCAAGATCTTCCCTTAAAGATAACTGAAGGTGGGGGTACTCAAGCTTCAAGCACTGGTTCACTAGATGAACCTGAGAAGCAAACATGATATCCTCCCTATACTGCTCTGAAATCCTTTGTTCTTCAAATTGGCTCAGAGTTCTCCACACATGGGAAAAGAAAGTCCGATCCATTTGTCCAATTACAGCATAAGACCAAGCTATATTCCCAAGCTGATCCCTTCTGAAACTCAGAACAGGGGAGCTTCTAACGCCATCAAAGTCAAGATCTCCTATGTTGTCCACACCATTTTCTCTGTCAAATTCTGAATTTTCTTTGCTTGAGCAGCATATAAATTGGCTTTCATCATTGAAAACATTATCTAAAGATTCCAGCAAAGGTTCAGCAGACTCAGATAAAGAAGCAAAAGCCCACAACACCTGAGCAAGCTCTTGCTCCTGGAAAGTGTGAATTATATCTGATGCCCTTTTGGATAATTCAGAAAAGAGATCAGGAGCAGAGTGCTTCATTGAAGCAAAAGCACCTGCAATATTAGCCACATTCTGTGAATTAAACTCCCCAACCTTGGTTAAGGCCACCTCTCCAACTCTATCCATTTCTGACAAGTAAATCAGATCACCACCAATCTTAGACAATGCCCACGAGATATTAGAGATACCTTGAGCTGAACAGTCTGGTAAGGCTGTCATTGCTATTCCTACAAGCATAGACATCTCTCTTTGGCGTGCAAAAGCCAACCTACGTGTCTCTATCATTGAAACTTTCTCCATATTCTTAGCAATTCGATGAAGAGCGGTGGCAATGTTCAAAGGAGAGAGAGGTGAGGGACTCAAGCCTTTCCCAACAGCCATGATTGTCTCTGCCATAACCTCCAACACTTCTTCTGCAGTTTGTGCGTCAATAATAGCTCTATTCAAGTTGATTTCTTTCTTACGATCAGATGGCCCCGAGAATTGGGAAAGCCTCTGAACAAACTCTTCCATGGTCTTCTCCTTTTTCTCTTCAAACATCCCACCTGCCAGCACACTCACAGTTCTTCTTAAATGACTAGCACCATTAAGAATATTTGTATCTTGCATATCAAAGTCTTCCTCGGAATCAATATCCAAATCTTCTTCAACTTCCTTGATTTTCTTATTCACTTTCTCTATTTTCCCCAGCTTCTTCTTCTTGTTCTTCTTTTTCTTCTTTACTGTCATCATATCTTCCATTAGATGAGATAAGCCCTTCGCCTCAATCGATTTAAGAGCAGTCTTTCTTGCCCTCACACACCAATCCATTCCCTCACTCTCTTCAAGCGACTTAGACTTCTTTAGCTTCTTCCTCTTGTTGGGGGCCTGGAAACCCAGAGGGTCAAGATCTCCAAGAAACTCCAACTCCCAATCCATTTTACCATCTCCATTTTCTTCTTCTTCCTCATCGTCACTCTCAACACTCCTTGAGCTAATAGCAGCATTATCCGTGCCTACATTTACGCAATATCTTCTTGGAAAGACAAGCTCAAGCCTTTGGGCTAAGAGCCCAGTTCTTGTTATTGGAAGCTTATGAGCAATATCAGGATTAAAAGTGAAGGGTTTGAAGCAAGTTTGATGAGGGAAGGTGTTAAGCAAGCTTTGCATACTTATCTAACAATCTTAAAATGAAAAACAAAATTCAAAGCAACTGCCAAACTGACAATATAATTTAAGAGAGAAATCAGCAATTCTTGAGCGAACAGGACATACCCAAAAGACAATATCCACTGCTTCTAAAGAGAAGGGGAATTTGAAGGCTGCGTTGCTGTTGTGATGCTGTTGTTGTTGCAGCTCTTAGGGTAGCCAATTTAGAAGATAATATTAATAAGGGAAAAGAAATGGGAGGGAGAGAAGGCTGAGGTTGGGTTAGAATAGAAGAAAATCATAACAAGAAGTGAAGAAGACGAAGAAAATAAGAAGCTCGAAGATGAAATTTCGAAGAATTGATGGAGAAATGGAGTTGAGTAGAGTTCAGTTGTTGGGTTTCAGAAAAAGGGTTTGGAAAGGATAATGTCGAAAAGTTCAGGAATAGTACACTTTCATCCTTTAAAAAATAGTTACTGTTTAAAACAGAACAACTTTTACCCCAACAAGTAGTAGGAGGGAGGTTGTCTTGTCTCCAATAATTTTCGAACGAGGTTGCATTTATGAGGAAGTGTTGTCTTGCTTTTGAAAATTTGTGCGAGTATCAAGAACAATTAAAAATTTATGTGTATGAACTAATTAGGCTTTTTATCACAAATGGTCATTCACGTTTACGAAATTATCACGAATGGTCCTTGAGGTTTTTTTGTGACACTAATAATTCTTAACGTTTGGACTTTTTATCACAAATGATCCATACCGTTATAAATTTTGTTAAGTGTCTGAGCTGGAAGATAAGTGGAACTCACATGTCCAATCACATCGTGACATGTGGATTAAATAAATAAATGAATATTTTTTTTATGAAAATCCATTAAAAAAACCATTTAGCCTCTCTCTCTCTCCCCGTCTCTCTCTCATTTCCTCTGCCCTCTCTCCTCCCTGTGCTTTCCCTCTCCCTCTATTTTTTTGTTGCCTCTACAACCCAACCACCCCATGCCCACCCGCTTCACTCAAGCTATTAGGTTTTGGTCTGCAGCATTCTTATGTTGTGTGGGAAGCGTCGAGACCTCCGTCACCAGAGGAAATGAGAGAGATGGCGCGAGAACTAGCTAGGAAAAAAATGCCCGTCGATGCTTTGTTTGGGGTTCTTTTCTTTTGTAACTTGTAAGTGCCTGCTATGGAGAAAACAAAAAAATGTTGTGTTTTGCATTTAGATTTCAATCGAAATAATGGTGAGGCCAAGTGGGTTTTATTTCAAGTTCAAGTGTGGCCTTGTAATGTTCCACAATCCTACTTAAATTTTCAAATCCACTTTGCCCATTTCATGCTGTGTGTGGAGGACGAAGGAGCTTTTGTGACTCAGGATGTAAATTATATGTTGTGATAAACCATGGATGTATTTGAAAGTGACCAAACATCTACATTATTCCTCATGTACTATTGAACCTTCATTTTCGTGTTCTTTGTGGAGCTGGAATCTACTTGAAAGTGAGTTCTTTTGGTTTGCTTTTCTGGGTTGTGCTTGAGTGAAGCTGGAAGGTTGAATATCTGGAAGGTTTAATAAAAAAACAGAGGAGAGCAAAAACAAAGGGAGATGGTAGGGGAGTTGGGCATGGTTGCGGGTTGCGAGAAGAGACGGAGAGCAACTGTATATCATATATTTTTTCTTGCAGGTGGCAGAGGGAAAAAAAAACAGAGGGAGAAGAGATGGAAAGCAAAGCAAAAGGTGGAGAGCAAGGGCAGAGGAGGAGAGAGACGGAGCAAGGAAGGAGGTGAAAAGTTGCAGAAAAATAAATGGAATTTTCATTAAAAATTTATTTAATTATTTTTTATCCACATGTCGCAATGTGATTGGACATGTGAGCTCCACTTATCTTCCACATCACACTTAACAGAATTTATAAGGGTAAGGACCATTTGTGATAAAAAGCTCAAACGTTAAGGACTATTAGTGTCACAAAAAAACCTCAAGGACCATTCATGATAATTTTGTAAACGTGAAGGACCATTTGTGATAAAAAAAGCCAACTAATTATGCTTCTACGTGACACAAACTCTTGTTGTTTTAAAATTAGGATTAACTACACTTTAGTCCTTGAAGGTTTAGTGTCAGTATCGAAATGGGCCCCAATGTTTCATTTTAATCAATTTCGTACCTAACATTTCGAAATATTATCAATTTACACCAGCCATTACATTGACTGTCAAAGTCAGATGTTAATTGCTGACATGGCAGTCGTGGGACCCACCTCATAACCAAACAGCAATTAAAAAGAGACGAGACGAAGGGCAATTTTAGAAAAAAATAAAAAAACACACACGTTTGCCTTCCTTCTCTCTCCAAAGCACGTGTTCCAAGGTGCTTCGATTACCAGGCTTCGAATAATCAAGAAACTCAGTTTCTAAGTTGTGTTCGTGTACTGAGACAGACATAAAGGAGAGGGTTTTGGAGTGCAAAAATTTGAAATAGACTGCAAAAATCATACTGAAACGGAGGTTTCTGAAATATCTAAAGAATATGAGTTGGGGACTTCGTCTGGAATGGTATCGAGAACCTTTCTACGGTACATATGGCTTACTGTTCCAAGGTTCTTGGCAGATGATGTTTTCGAGTGAAATTTTCAAATAGAGTCAGTTTCGAGTTTGGTGTCGACTGAAAGTTTGGCTTTTATAATGGATTGTGAGTTTCGAGTTAGGTGTCGGTATCACTGTGTCTATTTAATTGGTAGATGGAATGGTGTGAATGGTAGGTGGTATGCGGAAGTAAACGTTGGCTTTTGTATGTGGTTCCACAACCACTGGGAATCTTACCTTTTGTTTATGTGTGTACTGACATAGAAACCTGCATTTGTATATGTGTGTTTGTATATCTGCATTTGTATATCTATATTCGTATATGTGTATTTGTAAATAGGAGTACATGTATTTTTTTTTTTTGTGGTAAAATTGGTAAAATTCATGTGTGGCTTTCGACCTGCAAGGGATGAGGCAGGATTTTCTATTCAAATGTACCACAATGGTGAAATAAGATGTAACTATTATGTGAATGGGTCTGTGGATTGGTTTGATTATTGTGATAAGGATAGAATGTCAATGACTGAGATAGATGCCATGGTCAAAGAGTTAGGGCACGAAGGTTTGATTAACTACTGGTACAGTATTCCAGGTGATAGTTTTGATGGTGACCATGAGGATGCAGATGTCTTAGACATGCTAGTATTTGTGCCAGACACTAGGGTGATAAATATATTCCTAGAACATGTCTTGGCATGCAGTCAAAAGCTGTTTTACAGTCAAGTGGGTTCAAAAATATTTATAAATTTGGATGATGAATTTGGGACCAACACTGGGGGTAGTGATTCAAGAGCTTGATGACAATTATGGTGCCATTGTTCCAGTGGGTGGGGGAGTATCTCAAGGTGCAAAAGGTGAAAAAAATATAAGAGTTGAAAAGAAAATCAAGAAGCAGGTGGAAAGGCAAAGAGTTGAATGAAGAAGGGTTGATTGATGAAGCTTCTAAACAAGGCAAAGAAACTGCCACTGTGAATAATGAGGAGAATTCTGACAAAGGCCAAGAAAAGCCAAGTCAGGGTTGTTCTGATAAAGGCAAAGGCAAGGATAAAGACATGTCACATAGGGTGAAGCGTGCATTTGGTAAAAAAAAGATGCGGCAGTTTGAGGAGGACAAAGACTGTTCACCATAAAGACAAATTTGTTGAAGGAAGGGTTGATGGCGTCAGGACTGAGTTTCAAAGGCATTCTATGATGTTGAGAAGTGGAAGAAGATTGGCAAATGCTGCAAACTTTGAAGATGAAGATGATGATGCTTCTGATAGTGAGGACTCAAACTATATGATTCCCAAGAACTTTAGTGAAGATAAAGATGAAGATGATGTTTTTTTTAATGAATGGGTGGATGACCAAACTGAATGGACATGGGTTAAAGAAACTGGGAACGAGGTTGTTCCTGATTGGCCTACAGATGTTGAATTGGATTCTAAAGATTATGAGTGCAAGGATTATGCCAAGTATAATTATGATGAGGAAGTTGATAAGAATTGGCTAAAGTTCAATGCTGCAACTGATATGGTAGATCCAAAGTTTGATATTGGGATTTTGTTTAGTGATTGTAAGGTGTTTAGGGCAGCTGTCAGAGAATACTCCATCTTGCAGAATAAGGATGTAGTGTTTATTAGGAATGAGGCTTTGAAGCTGAAGGCAGTTTGTGGGGACCCAAATTGTGGGTGGATGATATATGCTTCAAAAATGCAACATGAGAACACATTGCAAGTGAAGACATATATAGGTGAGCACACATGTACATAGCGATGGGAGAACCCTACTGTGAAGTCAACATGGCTAAGCAATAAATATGTTCACACTTTGAAGTCCAATCCCCAGTGTCCAGTCAGGTCATTCAAGCAGACTGTTGAGAAGGATTATAATATAGGGGTGTCAAGACAACAAGTGTATAGGGCAAAAGATAAGGCACTAAAGCTGATTGAGGGCAGTTTCAATGAATAATATTCAAGAATTTGGGATTACTGTGAGGAATTAAGGAATAGTAACCTAGGAACCACAACAATGGTTAAGTGTGATTTCCAACAACAGTTAGGGCAACCAAAGTTTCAAAGGTTGTATGTTTGTTTAGGAGTTGCTAAGGAAGGCTTCAAAGCTGGGTGTATGCCTATTATAGGTTTAGATGGGTGCTTTTTGAAGAGTGTTTATGCAGGACAACTGTTAACTGTTGTGGGTATAGACGCCAACAATGAAACCTGGGTAATTGGTTATGCAGTTGTGGAATCAGAGTGCAAGGAATCTTGGATTTGGTTTATGGAGCTATTGGTTAAGGATTGTCATATTGTTAATCAATTTGGCTTCACCTTTATATCCGACAAACAAAAAGGTTTACTGCCTGCTTTTGGACAAGTGGTCCCTAATTGTGACCACAGGTTCTGTGCTAGACACATGTTTTCCAACTATAGGGTGTTTTTCAAAGCAAAAAGCCTTAGAGACAAGTTTTGGGAAGCATCATATGCAACCACTATCCCCCACTTTACAAGGGCCATGTAAGACCTGAAAAAACTGTCAAATGATGCATATGAATGGCTAACCACTCCAGATAATCGCCATCTCTAAACCAAAATCACGCACTCAGTTTTGCCTCTGTAGAGCGCACTACACCCAAACAAACGCTAAATTCACTTTCTTTCTCTTTACTTTGCGTCTTCCATGGAAGCCCTTGCAAGCTCTACGTTCATCCTGAAGACACACCCAGTTCTTAATAATCCCCCACTTCAATCAAAACACCAAATAATTGAAGTTGGTTCTCAAAATTAGTCAAAGTTCTCATTTTGTTGGGCTGCGGGTTCAAGCTCTCTCAAGGGAGGCTTCTGGGTCCGGTTACAGTGAAGAGGTCAGGACCTTCACAAAGAAACATAAAACAAATTTTATTTTCTATTGGAACCCTCCTTTCCAATAGCAAATAGTCCTTGGAACATCATGTAGCATTTAAACCCCAAAACCAACAAGACCCCCTTTCACTTTTCAACGGCATGATTATGGAGACCCTGCGTGTCACGCATTCAAACCAAATTACATGACCAACATGAATGTCTAAAATCCTCTACAACTCAAACTCTAATGTTTGGTCTTCATCATTGCTAACCATTCACCAATAATTAAAGAGTATTTGCTTTGGGTAGGAGAATGATTGTTCTATTCCATGAATTTGTCTAAGAGTAGCTTTAGGTAGGAGAAGTGGGAAGGACACGATTAAGGAGAAAAGAAGTTGTGACTTCTTCTTTTTTCTTTTTAATTGTTTTTTATTTTTTGTTTTTTTTGTTAACTTTTCTTAATTTTAGTTAACCTTAATTCAAGATAAGGGTAGAATAGGAAAGAGAAACAACAAAGTTGATTAAAAAGTTTTAAAAAATAAAAGGGAGTGTAAGTGGAGAAAAGGGGAGTGAGAAAATCAGCTCCTTATATATATATATATATATATATATATATATATATGTGATGAAACTCTTGGAGGAGATATAAGGCTTAGCTTGTATTTTCTTAAACTTTGAGCTAGCTTTGGAATCGAGGTAGGGGTTTCTTGGGGGCCTTTTACAAAGATTTATTTAAGTAAATTTCGTGAGCATTCTATTATGCATGGTATTATAGTTTGGTTGATGTTCCTTGTATTGGGTGTTTACGTATTCTTAACTATTTGAACAATGTTAGCATAATTATATATACGTTGGTGATGTTTTAAATGGTTACGTTGTTGTGAAGAATATGTAAAAGGCAGAATTATATCATGTCATGGAAATTGGCTGGAATTGTTGGGTTGAGAAAATAATGATGGAAAAATAGAGTAATGGAAATGATCTTTTGTGTAGTTGAGTCTAACTCTTGGTAGGTACCATATCTCAGGGATCCTATAGTGCACATGGTTTCTATTGGGTGATATGGGACTGGTGACTGGGAGTTAGACAAAATGACTAACAAAAATGTGTATTGTGTACATAGCTTGTGGATGAATAATGAGCTACTCTTTTAGTGAACTCTTGAGTAGTTCTAACTTGTAAAATAATTTAAAATTTTTAAGATTTCAGATGTTGTTGTTTCCGCTGAATATTCTATGTGAAATATTTATTTTATTTATTTAAATGTTTATTCACATTTTAGTTATAGTTTTTATTAAATTCTATAATTAATGTGTGAATCGCGTCTGTTAGTATGAAATTGTGTTGGCATTTCCTAGAACTTAGTATTGGTTTGGAAGTGTCATTTAGTTGTAGGGTTGAAGCAAAATTGCTATCTCTGATCTCCAGAAACTGCAGGATTGAAATAGCTCAGCAATCACCAAATTCCAAAATTGTGACTTAACACATATGAGACATTTGATCTGAAAGGTAAGACATGTCATTTTCCATGCACTCATAATAGGAACGTTTTTTGGAATCTAATATGATTTTATTTCCTTGATCTTCCTTGATTTTAATCAATTAGAATCCCTTTAGGAGTGCCTCTTATTTAAGCATATTTTTCAATATCTTTTGTTTATTCCTTCTTTCCTTTTATTATTAAATTCCTACTTGTCTTTCAAGTATTTTGATTGAAGATCACATTGGTATTTCCTTGGGCCTCAAGGGTAATCTTGCTTTGTGTTGGAAAGTATCTTTGATTGGCAATCACTTTTTTAATCAGATCAATGTGTCTAAAGGATTGAGATATTCTTGGAATTAATTCAAGAATATTAGGAATCTTGATTTAAGTGATTGTGAATATCCTTTTTGGAGTACACGTGAGTTTTATACGTACTAGGAAACATATCTTTGGTTACTTGGTTAGCCTTCAAAGAAATTGATTTTGTGTTGGACGTGGGCTTTTCTTCCTAGAGAAGAAAAAGTTCTATAAAATAAGACCTTTGTCTTCTTTGTTTTTAGGAGCTTTCACTATTATATTTTCAATGCATAAACTTTGAAAAGCTGAGTTTTTATTTGAGATAAATCATCAAGTGTTCCTTGTTTACTTGGTGATTTATCAAACACTTTTATCATTCATATTTCATTCATTTGCATGTTCGGTGACTCATACGGTTGAGGGTACCAAGACCGTGGTGGCGGTTTTTCTCCAGTAAGCTTGAATCGATCGTGACCAGTATCGGATTCAACATAAAGAGAGTTGCAAGAACTCCAACGAGCTTGAAGCAATCATGACCAGTATTGCGTTCAGTGGCGGATCCAGGATTGTTACTCCAAGGGGTCTTAGTGTAAAAGTTTGGATATATTTTTAACACTAAAAGATAATTTTCTATTACTTTTCTCTTATCGTTCTATAATTCTACACATGAATTAATCAAACCAAATAGTCAAACAATTTTTTAAAAGAAACAAATTTTATTAAGGCAAATAAACAAACAGAGAGACAACAAAAAGTCCATCACAAAATTAATCATAAACCCTAAATTCCAACAAATCAAATAATCATATATAGTCATCCAATCCAATAAATCATGCACACACAAAATCATCAATATTCATCCAATCCAATAAATCATTATCCAATAAAAATATGAGGCATTATCATCAACTAGAAATTTAGAGTTTAAAAATTACTTGAATATGAGCTTTTCCACACCACCAACTAGAATCACAAATATCCTTACCTCCTAGAAACACAACAAACTCCATTATATAATGACCCAAAAGATTAAATTCCTCAAAAATCAACAAAAGAATGTAGCACAAAGGTTTAAGTACACTAAGAACAATAAATTTATAAAATCAGAGATGGAGAGGGAAGAGAATGAAAACCTGGTGAAGTAAGTTAAGGCCACAAGCCAAATAAATGAGGCTCCAAATGCAGCTTTGAACCTTTTCAGCCATGTTGAGGGTTTAGGGGTTGAGGGTGGGAGATTGAGTTGGAAACTTAGGGTAGAAAATAATAGAATTTTGGGGTTTGATGAGTTAAGTATCGGGTGGGTTTGGGGGGAGTTGTTGGGCCAGGTCATTTTAAAAACTTCCTAGGCAAAACGACATCATTCTGACCCAGGAAGTTTAAAAAAAAACAAAAAACACTTCACTTCTTCTTTCTTGCACAACTCATTTCTTCCTCAAGAAAACCATCGAGCACCTGGTGTGCAGTTCCAGGGGGTCTCTCCCCCAGGTCCAAGAGACCTCTAAGCCAATTTCCATGGCTCCTAAGAGGTCGTGCGACCCCACTGATCCCACTGTGGCTCCACCACTGATTGCGTTCAACATGAGGAGTGTTGAAGATCATCCCGTGACAGAAGTTGAGTAATGAAGAAATCGGTAGACATTATCTAAAATGTGTCTAGGATAAGTGTGTGAGTACTTCTTGTAATCATTGTTCTATAGTGGATTTGTGTTGGATTGATGAGTCATGTGGATTTTTCCCAGTTGTGGGGTTTTACCACTTAAAATAAATCTCTGCGTGTTCCTTTATTTTATGTTCAACACGTTTTAAGATTGATAAGCCATATCAATCCTGATACCAAAGTTTATTTTTTGTTTATTTATTACAATCTTAAATTGGCCTATTCACCCCCTCTAAGCATTTTTAGTCATCCTACAGGTAATTTCAACGTCTTAACCCAAGGTTACGTAAATCTGTGGGTTGGGGTGTGACAACATGTACTGGCAGTGGAAGAATTGCCTAACTGTTAGGCAATGAGATTATTGGAATAGGAAGGACAAAAAAAGGATCATTATGGAGGTCATTGCATCATTCGATACCCGAGTTTGGCGTGCCTTTTTCGGAGTTGAGGGATCTCAAAACGACCTCAATGTGCTTAGTCAATCCCCGTATTCAACGATGTGTTAAGAGGTCATTCCTTCCAAATCACGTATCAAATCAACAATACCGTATACTTAGGTGGGTACTCCCTTGCTGATGGAATTTATCCGAGGTGGATGGCATTTGTCAAAACAATTCCAAATCCCTAATTGGAGAAGGAAAAAGCTTTGTTGTGTTTTGGTATCTTACAAGCTCGTTGGGCAATTATTAAGGGTGTTGCTCGTATGTTTGATGAAAAGATGCTTCGGAGCATTATGATGACTTGCATCATCCTCCATAACATGATTGTGGAGGATGAGTATGATTATGATGCCTCTAAGATGTTCAAACCAAATCTTATTAACATAGCATTGACAAGAATTTATGAACAGCCTGTGGGAGCAAATGGACAACCACTGGAGCGCGAACCGTTGATTAGGGACGGTCGGTACAACAACCATATGATTGACCGTTATATGGAAATGCAATCTTCTTATATTCACGAGAGATGTCAAGTTGACTTGATGGAGCATTTATGGGCGATGAAAGGCAATCACAGTGGATGAAGTCAAGTTTAATGTTTTATTTGGAATTATGCTTCTTTTTTTAATAATGGTTTGTTTTAAATTATGCTTTGTTTTGTGTGTGGTTTGTAATGTATTAAGGTTTGTTTTGATCTATGAAATGTTTTTACTGAATAGCTATATTATTTAATACTTTCTTTATTCAATAAAATATAAACAATACTACAAATTAATACATATGGCAACTCTTTCAATACAACCTAATGGTTTTGATCATTTAACCAATCCGTGTTGCTAGGTCCATCGTTATGGAAAAACTTTCTTGTCATAACATCTCTTCGTTTTAGCTTCCAATAGGACTTTGTTTTAGGAGACATATGGCTCATACCCATGGCCATGATTTTCATCTCTTTGTCCTCCATGTCTTGTCATTGTGCCTACTGCCTTTATGTTGCATATGCTTCATATCGTGCCTTGTCAGCTTCATATCTTTTCAAGTCTCTCTAAATTCTAAGTGAGCCGTTGATAGCAATTTGGTCTAAAATTTTTGCACATTCAGTGTTTGAAGTGCTCCCTCTCTTGGCCTTTGCCGCCTTTCACCAAATAGGCGTCAGCTGACGTTGGATTAGTGAGTCTTGATCCATTGGGGAGTCCAATAGAGAATCCGATGTCGGTGAATCGTGGAGCAGCGTCTCATTCAACACAACTGTCAGACGCACGGAAATAATTTTGAATCTTGAACAATTCTTCACAACGTCCCAACATTGGTGATTAATGAAACTTTTTTTGTCTTGGCCAATGGCACCGAACCACATTTGTGCTTGAATAATCTATTAAAAAAATAAAATTGGAAATGCAAGAAAAATTTAAATAAAGACAATGTGACATTAAATTGAATAAAACGACATTTATAAATTTTTTACCTCGTCGCCAAGATTTTCACTGCTTCGAACGTTCTCCCTCGCTTTTTCCAATGAATCTCTCCATTTCCCTAACTCTTTATTCAAAAATTTCCACTTATTAGCCAAGGCCATTTCCGTACGAGCCGAACCCGATCTTTCACAAAATTCTCCATGAATTTTTCTCCACATATGAGAAGACTTCACAAGCAATGATCAAATTTGACCCAACACTCACACAACAAAATATCTTCCACGGTTGTCCACGAGCCTTCGGCTTCTCTAGAAGAGGCCATTTGTATTTTTACAAAATGGAATTTAGTAGTATAAAATTTGGTGTGGAAAGTGAAAAATATTGGAAGGAGAAGAATTTGTATGAAGATTTGGCGTGGAAAGTTAATAATATTGGTAGATATTTATAAAATAAAATAAAATATCCAGAATTTTTTGATATTTTTTACAAAAATTTTCAATTTTTTTAGCCACAAAATGGGCAACCGATGGATTGGAAGAGATTTTCGGATCGGAGCCTCTAGGAGAAGCCACGTGGCTTGTAGCCGTTGGTTTTTGGCAGCTTTGATGCCAGCGTTGCGTCAGCTGCCCGAAAGCAAGAGGACGGGTTAGATCTCCACGTGGGCTTGCCCGGGCTCGTGGGTCCCAAACCTTGCCCGAGCTGGGTCTTCCCTGTTGGAGCTGCCTTCCGGGCCTAGGGCCTCCTTCTGCTTGGGCTAACTCCTTACGTAGAAGAACCTTACATATAATATAGGGACTTTACCATATAAGGACAATAGGAGGTTACCAAAACAAAATTGTCCAGTCCCTCAAACATTGGACAAACCAATCCAGTTACTGACATGACTATACTGAATCCAGTTAATGACATTACTATACTGAATCGGTATGTCCAATTTTGAAGGAGTTAGACCATTTTAACATTTTTTTACCTGCTCGAATGACTTTTTTATCACGCACGCGTCCAAGGAATCCTCTAGAACAAGGACCACAACAACAAACCCCTTCGTCCGCATATATTTACAGACCCACCTCTACATCTGACACTGTTCGAGGCTTTTCTCATCCCCCCTTCCCCCATCGATTCACAAACACAATAGAAGCGAAGTCTGTTTTTGACCAAAAATAATAGAAGCGAAGTCTGTTCTGTTCAGAGAGAAGGAGAGCAATGGCTGAGCATTTGGCTTCCATATTTGGGACAGAGAAGGACAGGGTGAACTGCCCTTTCTACTTTAAGATAGGGGCGTGCAGGCATGGAGATCGCTGCTCTAGACTCCACACCAAGCCCAGCGTCAGCCCAACCCTCTTGCTCTCCAACATGTACCAGAGGCCTGATATGATCACTCCCGGCGTCGACGCTCAGGGCCAGCCCATCGACCCCCGCCAGATCCAAAGACACTTTGAGGTCTGCTCGCCCTTCTTCATATTCAAAATTGAAAACCCATTTGCCATTTTTGCTTTTATTTGATGTTTGTTATTTGTTATAGAGGAAAGTAACCCATGATTTAACAAAAACCCATTTGCATTTTGCGCTGTTTTTGTTCGGAATGTTGTGTTTTGGATTTGTTGTGTGCTATTTCTATGAATTAGAGGTTTTTATTATGTGTATTGGACTCTCTCCGACCTTCCCTGTGTGAAATTCAGAATTAATGTGTTTAAAAAGTGCATCTTTCAAATATTGATGCATGAAAAGTTTTTATTTTTTAATTTAAAGAAGAAGATTTGATCTTTTGCTAGTGGCTGTAATGGGGAATAGAGAAGAATAAAAGGAAGATTAAAGGAAGATGTAAGTAAAATCAAACTCGAGTCTAGGGTCTTCAAATATAAATACAGAGCAGTGGGATGCAAAATAAACTTTTGTTTATTTATTATATGATCTCTTTTCCATCTTGAAACCTAAATGCTTTATATTACATCTGTGAAATAGTTGAAAACCTTAGTGTCTGTGCAATCCTTCTCTGTTCTATATATGTGTATAAATGTAAGTACATACGCTTGCATATCTCTTACAATTAAATTTTTTACGTTTTGGAAATTGCAGGAATTTTATGAGGATCTGTTTCAAGAGCTGAGTAAGTACGGTGATATCGAAAGTCTGAATGTCTGTGACAACCTAGCCGACCACATGGTATGTTTTATTCGACAGAAAGTTAAGCTCTTTCTCTGCTTTCCTCTTTTCTCATCATAAAAATTATTGATACTACTGCAAAACTTATCCATTTGGGCAGGTGGGCAATGTGTACGTTCAGTTTAGGGAGGAGGAACATGCTTCAAATGCACTTCGGAACCTAAGTGGAAGATTTTATGCTGGTTAGTTTCTACACCGTATCTTTGAACTTCAGAATTTGATGTCTAAGTGTCTGCTAGTTATGGTTTATATTGCTTTTTAGGCCTACAATATGTAATATGTTGAACTTATATCTCTTGGTAAATAACTTGCAGGTCGTCCTATCATTGTTGACTTTTCACCAGTGACGGACTTCCGTGAAGCCACCTGCAGGCAGTATGAGGAGAATACATGCAACCGTGGTGGATACTGCAATTTTATGCACTTGAAAAGGATCAGCAGGTATGCTTTGCTTGAAATTTTTTTCTTATTGCAGAACGCACTGAAGCATTAATTTAACTCAATCTTTGTTACAATGTCAGGGAATTGAGGCGTGAGTTATTTGGGAGCTATCGGAGAAGGCATAGCCACAGTCGAAGCAGGAGTCGAAGCCCTTACAGGCATCGTAGCTATGAAGAGCGCTCTCGTGGGAGCCGTGGTCATAGCAGAAGGTATGATGATGAGGATCGCTATCCTGAAAGCTGGAGCCGAAGGAACAAGACTGTTAGCCCTGGTGGAAGGAGAGGACGCAGTAGAAGCAGAAGCCCTGATGGAAGGAGAGGGCGCAGTAGAAGCAGAAGCCCTGGAAGGAGAAGACACCATAGTCCAGTTAGAGAAGGCAGTGAGGAGAGACGGGCCAAGATTGAGCAGTGGAACAGGGAAAGAGAACAAAATGAAAATCAGTACAATGGTCAGCAGCAATAGCAACCTGCAGAGAAAGGAGGGTATGAATACAGATATTTGAAAGCTTTTATGTGGTTTCCTCACCCCCTCCCCCCCAAAAACCGCCTCTGTCTCTCTCTGTATCTGTCTCTGTCGCTGTTTATACACACACAAACGCTTCCATACCACACACACACATATCAATATATTATACGTGCTCAATCACAAAAGAAATTTATATTTCAACAAAAAGCATTTTTTCAATAAATATAGCTTACAGCACATTTTCCACTGTGCAGGTGGTGTGCAGGTTCACACTTCTGTGATATGCAATTGAAATGACTTTACAATTTTTAATCTCATACATATTGTGTGACTGTGTGCTTTCTGTATGATATGTCTCTGTAAACCCTTCCCCTGCTGCCCTAGTTCTGTACTCTTTGCTTCAACCAGTCTCTTCAAACGACTCCCTTCATCATTCTGGACTTCATCCTTCGTAGAAAGCTATTGATATTGCAACTTGGATAAGCAATGACAAAGTGAGGCAAAGGAAAGAAATATTGAGGATAGGGAGAAAATCTAGAGTTAGGAGAACAATTACTTTTTACAACACTAATCTTCAACTAGGTAATATACTGTGTAAATACCATAGTGTAGTAGGAGGCTTGAATAATTAGACCCCAAATTGTTAAAACTTAAACTGATTAAGTACTTAGTTTCCAAAAATTCCAGAACTAAATAAATTAACTTCTCGTTAATTACTTAACTTGTGCTTCTGTCTAAAATAAGCACAAATGTTCTCACATCTAACCGTCATCACAAAGCCAGCTCCTCTATAAGAATTTTTGTTTGTTGCCGTAGGGGATTATTTCAGCTGACTATAACATCTCTCTTTCTATCTTTCTTGTTCAATCAAGTCGACAATGGTTTTTATTTTTTGTTCTTATTTAGTTTCATGGAAGCCAATCCCCAGTTGATACTTTGCATCTGTGTGAAATTTGTTTGCTTGTTTTGCATGCATTCATGATTTACAGTCAGAAGTTCTGTGACCACCACGAATCAAGAGTAGTGAACGATCGAATATCATGGTTCTGTCTTGGGTTTTGTTTTCTTCTCCCCTTTTAGCTTTATTTTTTTGTTTCAATTAGTAAAAGTCACGATCTTACATTCTTTACAAGTTTTGCAGGTTCAGGTATCCTTGCTTCTAAGGTCCGATCCTATTTATTTTCATTGCAGCTTACAATGGAATTTGTGTACAGGTTGCTGGTGCAGTGTATCAGGATTCAGGAGAATGGGGTGTACGATATTTCAGGTTTCAATTCAGAAGTGTGAAAGTATATTCCTATTCCATCACTCGAACGACTGATGTAGGTTATTACTGTTGGTAGGTCATTGCTGTTGGTCGATTGTAGTAGTCATCATGATGCAGGTTTAGTGTGGCATCCAATATCTTTTTTGTTGTTGGACCAGTTGTATTGTCATATTTGGAATTGTACAAGCATTAAAATCTTGACTGGCTATGATGTTATTCCTTCTGTTACTGCTGGTTTATCAATCCTGGGCATGAAAGAGGAATGTGTTAAATGTTATATTAGGGTGGGTTGTTTTTAAGAACCTTATAAATGGTATAAATGAACTTACATTTGGATTATCGGGTTTTGCCACTGTTATGGAAATATCTGTATGCATAAATCTGGAAACTTTCATTTCTATGCAGCGACGAGTTTCTTGTTTCGGGGAGACAGCATAGACCTTTAGGACTCAATTTTATTTTCCTTTTCTTCACAAGTCAACATGGAATCTATCCCAAGTTTTGCAATGAGAAGCAACTTTTCTGCAATTTATCTTATGGCTATTGTTGTGTATGGATTTTGAGTGTGGTAAATTTGTAGTTCCAAATTCCAGATTTTCATGATTCTGTTTGTAAATTTAAAGCTACATTTACACCCACAAAACCAACGATCCACCCCCAAAAAAGATTTCACAAACACCCACCACACACGGAGGAATCAAAGCTCAAAGCGTGGGTATGAAACTGGAAATGAACGACCTAGAAATTTCCTAATTTTCTAGCCTACTTTGGACCTGGTTTTCAGCCATTAAATCTCACCTATACTTGTTTCAGAGTAACCTTGTGCCAATGTCTCTCATGCACCACTTGCTTCTTAATACACCAGGCCCATAACCCGCGACTGAGTGAGGTTCGCTTCATTCTTTTTAATACAAGCCATATTGGAAGAGAGGGGAAACAAATATAAAAATGCTCTTAACCCCTTGTGTTACAAAAACCCGCATCATATTTTAACTTTGTTCCCGAAGCATTTCAAAAAAAGAAATGAATATGATACTCGACTTTCTTATTCAGTATTATTTTTTTGATGAGATGGATTGGAAGAGACCGAAACTTGTGCCTCTGCTATAGCTCTCAAACTATTCAGAGAATAGCGTGCACATTGAACCTGGCTGCAAGTTGGATGTGAAGCAAATTGCTTTACAAGCTCCAAATGCACAATACGATCCCAAAATCCGAAATCAACGGTTCAGAGCTTTACATCTGGCAAGATGCAACATCTGAAGTGCAAACTGAATTTGCAGCCAGGAAACTTGGACAACTCATCCAACGGAATCTAGGGTCTAGAGATGTTAAGTTCAGGGTTTCCCACCAGCCTTGAAATCTTGCCTACTCCCCAGCCACCCACGGAAACTTCGACAAATACGAGCCTGAGATTTTTCCAGGGAGTGGATCAAGAGGTGGCAGCCCAAACTTTTGCTAAAAATTCAGGCGCTTTTTAGCAGTAATTCAAGCGCCCAGCGTAAACGCCTTCACATTTTTCTGCCAAAAGCTCTATTGACAGTACTTTTAACCCTCGGTCCCATTAACACTGAAGAATCAATAGCTACTCCAATAGGACATAATCACAGTTCTATAAACCTGGAAAATCGATCCAATTTCTATATAGGACAATCGAAAGGTCAAGGAGCATTCTCTCATTCTGTAAGAGGGGCTAAAAAGTAGAGCACTTAAATTTAAAAAAGACTAAGAGATTTAAACATATCGCACCTAATTAAGTTGAATAAGCAATATCCAAATAGAAAAGTAAAATATAGGTTCAGTTAACTGTGAAATAACAACTCTAAAAGACAAGCCGATAACTCAAAACCCGAGGACAACCATTGCTACCGCCATAACCTTAACATATCACCCTCTGTACTCTCAATGCCCAAAAATACTATATATCATAAGCATGCCATGATCCTGCACATCCTTCTACTTGGCACTGTGCTTGGCCTTGTTGTGTGACTGAAGGGCACCATCAGAATTAAACGACCTGCGAACAGCAAGATGACAAGCATAAAAACCAGCACCAGAACACAAATACTACAAGCAGAAAAAAACAAAATGGTATGCTTAACATACTTGCTGCAAGGTTTGCACGAGTGCTCGCCACCAGACTTTGGTGTTTGTGGCTTGGGCTTGTCACCTGTAGCAGGAGTCTTTCCACCCTTCTTTGCAGGGTGTGGGGTGGCAGTGTGCGCAGCCTTCTTTCCATCTATAAAAATTCATAAATACTTTAGCCATGTCCATATTACAGGTAACACAGAAATACACTATGACTATTTGGGTATCATTGAGAGAGAGAGAGAGAGAGAGTACCAGTCTTCTGAGGAGTTACTTGCTTGGCTTTTTTAGCAGGGACGGGAGTTTTAGAAGCAGATTCATTGGGTCTCTTCTTGGAAGCCTTCAAGATAAACAATCAACATACATGAACAACCGAACTTGCAAAAATAATCAAGGCCGATAATTTCAAAAGAAGACCAGGCAAACTGTGAGAACCACAAAACCATTTCATTACCTTCTTAGGAGTAGGTGTCTCCTCGTCATCCTCATCAGTAGCATCATCATCCTCATCACTATCATCATCCTACAATCAGAAATGCAAATTTCCGAAGTGATTAAGCAGTTACATACTACTATAAAGGGCATAACAAGCTATCAATCAAGAATATATTTTGACCAATAAGCTCAGACAACAAACAACTTCAAATCAACACATGAAAAAACATCTTCATAGTAGGGTAAAACAAAAGCACTTTGGTGACACAAGAAGCCTTTATTCAAGGCCAAGCACGGTACACAATCGGTGCAATGAATCATGGACACAAGAAAACTCATCTGTGACCATACCTCATCTGATGAATCTTCAAAACCACCCAAACCATCCTCAGAACTTGAATCATCAGAATCATCATCATCATCATTAGTTGGCTCCTCTATCTTAACTTTTTGCTTTTCAGAAGCTTCAGGTTTCACAGTGTTAGTCTTGGAAGGAGCTGGCATTCCTGTGCACAGTTTATGAACAAGTGATAAGAATAAAGAAGATCAACAGAAACCACATGACAAATTGGAAGATCCATGTCAAACATTTACCATTCTGTGTGATTTCCATCGGGACATCCTCATCTGAGGAATCAAATTCTACATAAGCAGAAAATGATAACCAATTAGCTAAGGACATAGAATAAATTTATAATCATGTCAAAAAAAAAATGGCATTGCATTTACCCGAATCACCCTCCTCATCCGTGGCAGCAAAGAACACATCAAGAAGTCAAGGAAGCAATGAATAAATACAAAATATCACAATTCATCAATGCTAAAATATCAAATCACCAACATTCAATATTTTAATTTCAATACAATATGAAGCCCTGTATACAAAAATTTCATTTTAAAATATAATTATTATGGACGAATTATTTTCCCAAAATAATCAATACTTCTGCTCAAACACCATAAACTTACTGATTAAGATTTTTTTAAGAAATGATACAAGAGAACTGAAAATTAACTTTCCCTGCAGACTCCAGGGCAAATATACAAAGTAGCTCGTTCATAAAGAAAAGCATAAAATGTCATGCTCAAACAATCAATTCAACATACACCACAATTATTAAAAGGATATTCTCCAATCAAAGTCTGATAACCACAAAAGTGGACACTTCCACTTTTCAAGTTGTGCGAGAGCTCAAACTCTTTCTCAAAAACCAAGTCAAGGAACAATTGAGGGAATTTATCAGATGAAAGAGTTCCCAAAACAAACTTCTTGTCATCGATCTTCACAGAGATGACACCCTGATCAGCTCCCTTCTTTGTCTCGCCCAAACAAGCCTAGAGCAAAAGAAACGTTAAAACATCTTAAAACAAGGCACTGACACGCACAGTGATATCAAAGAAAAATTAGTAGACGAATCAAACAAAGAGGACTAGTATGAAAAAGAAACACTACCTGTGACAGGTGCACAACTTTGCCATCAACAGGCACATATTTTACTGGCTCTCCAGCCTTCACTTCAACACCTAAAATAAACAAACGTAATTATTATAAAGAGTACAGTAATATCCAGAACAAAACAGGAAGGATTCTTGCATATAAAGACTAAACCAGCTGCATGCAAAAATATCCATCCACATTACATAAAACACGACTACGACTAGACGAGAAAAAGACCAATCTCCACTGCTTAAGAAATTTTTTTATGGAAAAACCAGAATGGTCGTAACTTCTTGGTGGATTTACACATTTTTTAGAATAACAAAAATCGTCAAAGGGTTCTAATAAAATAGAAGAAAAAGAAAAGTGGGGTTCAGATCATCAAGCGTATGGTTTTTAGGGAACTGGCACCTGTAAGGCACATGTTACAGAGAAATTGTTTGCAAATTCAACACGATTAAAGCCTAGAATTCATGTACAACACGAGGCTGGCTCAGAAACAATAATTTTTCATCAGCATAACCATAAAACCAAAACTATAAGAAGCCACTGATTGAAAATCATCAAGTCCAAAACTTATGGTTTAACCAGTTTATACACAGAAACCACACAAACAATTTCAGACCCGTCCGAGACAAGCTTACTAACATAACCTCTACCGTACAGAAGCACATTGAATAAATTATCAGAAATAAAATGCAAAACATGAAAACACAACAGTAAAACAATTATCACAGGACAATGCACCAAGTTAAGCCTTAAACACAGATTATCAAAAACGAACAAAAGCACTGTTTTCAGCTAAACACTGAGAACGTAAACAGTGAGAAAAGAACAAACACTGAGAAACGCTAACCAGTGAGAAAAGGAATAAAAGAAGAATAGGAGGCGATAAGGGAAGAGACGGCTTACCCCAAAATTCCATTGAAGCAGAACGAGTGAGCGAGCAAGAAACAGGGACAGACAGAGAGAGAGAGAGAGCGGGGGCTAGGGTTTTTGGGCTAGGGTTTTGATTTGAGAGAGCGCGATGTAAAGAGGCGATGGTCAGAGGGTTTAGGGGGCTTTTTATAAGGGAATTGCCGCCAGGTTTTCTGCTAGGGTTTTTCAGACTTGTGCATTTCATTCTTTAGTTGGGCCTGGGCTTTGGATTCAAAAGTCGAAACGTGGGAGCATGGGCTTCTTAAATGCAGTAAACTTTTATGAAAGCTATTTGCACTTAACAATTTGATTATCACACCCAGCATTCAAGTAAAATGTAATCTTTTATTTGGCATCTGACTGACTGAAATAACAACTAAGAGCGTCTCTAACCGATATGTCAAATTGCTACATGGACATAAAATGTCAAAAATGAAATGTTAAAGTTGCTTCAACTGAGTAGTCAAATCCTTCATGGATTTGAAGACTGAAAAAGATGTGTCAAAAATAACATATCAAAAAGCTTGATGTTAAATATTTTTTAATATTTTTTAAATCATGGACCCCGCTATTATTTACTCTCTTTTTTTTGGGTCATGAACTATCATTTACTCTCAAAATGTCGAAGGTCATATTATTTTATTATATTTTCGAAAGCAAATGAGGCCCATATGATGCATAAAGTTTTAAAAAATAGTTAAAAAAAGAATATCATTTACTCTTTTTTTAAAACTTTACTCATCATATGGGTCTCATTTGCTTTTGAAAATATAATAAAATAATATGACCTTTGGCATTTCGAGTGGAGTTTATTTTTTTCTAAATTATCAAATTGCCACATAAGCCATCAAATTTAAATTTAACATTTTGCATTTGACATCCCCTTGAAGATGTTGTTAGCCAACTAATAGAAAAATAAAACATCAAGAAACCGAAGAGGAAAAAAAGGTAAATTTGGCATGTTGATGGAGATACATCATCGCAATATGTTCATTGAGGGAAACAAAGCCGCTCTGAAGTGGTCTTGCTTTCCCTCCCAAAAATCCCTTAAAACTCCTACAACACTAGGGATATATATATATATATATATGATTTTATGGGAAGAAAAAAAAATCACAATTTTGTGAGTGATGGCCCTCTCATATAAGATGATAAAGTGATTTACAATTAAGTTTTAAATTTGGCCCCTTGATATAGGGGTGTACGTCGGTTCACAATTAATATAATTTCATCAATTCGCATATGATCCAATATAGATTGGATAATGAATTTTTCAATCCAATCCGATCACATTAAAGGTTTAAATTCAATCTGATCATATTCAATTAATATTGGATTGGACGATCGGTTTTCATATTGGAAAAAATAATCATGAAATATGAAACATACATCGTCAAGTTTAATGTAATCAAACATTTTAGTATATGTAAATGTAAAATATAAATGAAATGTTAAAGAAAGTATTTTGATTTTATAATATATTAAACATAACTCAATCAAATTGCTTAAAATGCTCACAACTTTCTTAATGACAATTACCTAATGAGCAAAATAAGCATGAAACTAACTAGATTGGATTGGATCCTCACAATCAAATCCGTCATCCGATCCAATAATGTCGGTTTTGGAAATTAGGAATCCAATCCAATCCGCCAAATCATCAAAACCGATTAAAATTGGATTAGATTGGATTGGTCGATTTGAACATATTGAATTGGATCTTGCACATCACTGATCTAAAAATTCTAGCTCTGTCACTACATTCAATCATAAGAATCTAAAAGCATATTGGTTTGTGGACACCTAAAGGCTAACGTTATTGAAATGATAATTGACCACCATTCTGACGTATCTCCCTTTGAGAGTGATCAACCAATTGAAATTCAAAGCATACTTTATCAAAAACAAAAAATTAAGAAAGAAATTTAGAACATACCTTACCCCTTGTTTTGCCACTTCAAATCCCTGCCATTAAGGGAAGGCTTGAAACGAAAAAAAGTAAGTGTTGTAAGCATCATCAGCGCAAGCACATGTGTCTCTGCGGTCTCCTAGATTTCAATAAGAATTGGGCATTTTCACTGGTCGAACTGGTTAAATTTTCCAATTTAACTGAACTGAATCAATCTTTTTTTCTTCTTTTCAAAGTAACCTTTTTTTGTGGCTTTATCCTATTGGTTGGCTTAAAGAGAGCCCATATTCCCCACACTGAATTCGCCCACTACATATCTAAACAAACCCTAGCATTTTCTCTATCTTCTTGTCGTGTCACCATTTGTTCTCTCTCTCTCTCCCCCCCTCTTGCATCATTGCCCCTTCATGACTAGATCTGCTCGTTTCCATCACCACAATCACATAGGTTCTCATTGAAATCGAATCGACCTGTCAACTGTAGTCAGTTGATGGCATCACTACCTTGGTGCCAATCTACAAAAAAAGGCACAAGGACAAGGTAAATTCGGTGGATGTGTCACCTTATCAGTTGAGCTTGGTTTGGTTGCCTAGCCCTAATTTGAACACTCTCTATAATGACAAAGATTTGTCGTTCGCACACTTGCAGTTTTCCAATAATGACAAACATGTTTGATAAAATAAATGGTAAATTGCTGAATACCCCTCTGAACTATAACTCTTGTCGAAATGTCTACCATGAATTATTTTTTTAGCCAATTTAGCCTTTGTATTAAATTTATTAGCCAATTTCACCCTTGCCATTAGCTTTTCACAATTCCATCCAAATGCCCGTCAAATTTAAGGGCAAATTTGAAATTTTACAAGGTATTGTATTAAGAAGAAAAAAAAAAGGAAAATGTAATATAATATATCTAAAAGGTATAGCCGCCCGGCTATACTGGCATCCCTTATCCTCACTTTCTATTCCACCTTCAGACCCATCACAGCCCCAAATTCACCACCTCGCCATAACCTCCCCGAGAAACAATCGAATGGTGTTGATTTTACGGTGAAACCTGTTGATGGGTTTGATGCATCTCCTACTTTTAAACCCGATTTGCCTGAGAAAGGTTTGAATGTTGTGGATGTCGGTGCAAATTCACTAGCTGTGAAGGTTGAGAAAGTGGATGACCCCAATTTTGAGGTATGCAAGAATATGCCAGTTTTATGAATTAGTAGAATTTTTTTTTCAAATTGGGTATTGGGAATTTTGTTTGCTACATGTTATTGCATATCGGCCAAAAAGGGCAACTATAGAAACACTAGAATTCTACAAAATTTATACAAATAAAGAACTGCAGTAGACGGACTGGAGTGGTCCTAATGTTTCTAGTAGGCTTATTTACTGTAGTACTTCCTGAAACTGTGATCAAATTCTACGTTGTCTTTGAAAGTCAAAGTGACCCACTTAGTAAAATGCTCTTAATCTTTTAAAATAATTGGAAATGTTTATCATTCAAGGGACACACATATTTAAAAAGAACATTTTTCAAAATTTTAAGCTTATTTCACCTTTTTGATTTGCTGATATTAAAAAAGAACTGATTTTATCACTCTTCTTTTGTCCACTTACACTCCCTTGTATGTTATAGTAAAAAAATATTTAAAAACAAAAGGGAGTGTAAATGAAAAAAATAGAAGTGGGAAAATTAGCATCCTAATAAAACCTAAAATAAAATCTTCTTTTATTACACTACAATCCTATATTATGTACAAAGCCAAAGTCATTTTGAGGAGAAAAATAATATTTTAATTTATTTAGCAACTAATTAAGCCAATTACAACAAGAAATCCATGACCTTGATCCACAAAAACCATGCTCTTAAAACTTTCTCAGCTTGTTTGGAACATGAAACTAACAACATCGTCACACCACCGCCACCATCCATTGTGTTTGTGCTTGGGCACACGAAAAAAGTTCCTCGATCCTAATGACATCAACTTCTCCTCCCTATGCAAACCTGGCCCCACATAAAAGAACACAACAATCAATCACCACCGAGCACACATCTTAAGGCCTATTTGAAAGTGATTGTGTGATACACGTGTTTTTCCAAATAATCACTTAAGCGATTTTGAGAAATTTTGGAGATAAGCAAATGACGGTACTTCTTCAAAAAATAACTGAAAACCACTTATAGTGATTCTATAGAGAAGTGATTATTGGCCTATCAAGCATCACTACAAATGAGTCCTTAATCAAACATATCCAAAGTAAAATCACATCGGTCATTTCCATAAGCCCAAATAACAAATCAAATGCTTACTTTCTAAGTTGAACTGTGAGTAATGGAGGTTGAACAATGAGGGATCGACAAAGGGCAAGATCGGACGGCGACCTTCCTTTATGTACTGTTGTAAGGCAGTGGCCACAAGATCTTTCACTGTCAAGTCGAGCGGCATCAAGACTTGTACAATGCCGATGCTCCCCTGGATCATCACATTGAGAAGGATCCTCGTCAATTTTGGCCTGAACGACCCCATGTATGGCACCGTTTTTGGTCTCCGAAGTTATGGCAGCTCCATATCTGGAAACTGGCCATGAAACGACGATGATTTCTTGTGGATTGATCTACTTATGCGGCTCTTCTCCTCGTGGACCCTTTGTTGACTATTTTTCAGACTCGACATTTTTGGTAAATACAATAATGATTCGTGGACGAAATAGAAATAACAACTTTTGTGATTTATTGTTTGAGCATTGTGAGCAGTTGTTACCAATTTACCTCAAGCGTCGATGTCAAAAGAACTTGATAAGAGTAGCCTCAGAAATTACCATGACTTTTCTTAGAGAGGTGATCGTCTATTGGCTATTGTCGGTTAGAGAGAGAGAGAGAGAGAGAGAGTTGGGTTATCGGCTTTAACGGTCTCGTGGTAACCTCGGTGGTTGGAATGGGACACGTAGATAGGTGATTATGGTGCGGTGGCTCACTGGCTTTTTATGGAGTATTGTGTAACGGTGAGACGTCAATTTAGATAATCATTGTTCACTCGAGGAAGGCGGCTATAGTATGGAGTGATGCTAGGTAGCGGTGGTCACTTGGATTTTGAGCACGTGTTGGAATAAGTGACTTCGTAGAGATGGGCTAAAGGCCAATGGTTCGTGGAAGTTTTAAAAGAAGCGGTAATAGAGGATAAGAACTCGAAAAGGCTTAGTGATTGAGTGTGAAATCTCTAGTCTCTATGGAATTGAAGTGTGTGTCTATCCACGTGTTAAGAACAAAGAAAACTATTAGTTGTTTGCAAATGGCGCGTGACACGTGCCCCAATCAGGTTTGAAGGCGTTGCCCTTTATACGAAGCCATTTTGACGTCATCGTGCAATTAATTTTTTTGTCACATATGTTTAAATTCCATGATGAAATGTTTTTTTTTCTTTTTAGGAACAAAGGAAATTACAAAGAAATTCCTCCTCCGATATAATGGCAAAAATAAATTCAAATTTTAACCGATAAACAACCAGATAAGGAAAATTGTTAAACCATATAACCGATATTGGCTAATCGAGCTGTTATATATATATTTTGGCAAGTGCTAGTCATTTAATTTCTTGTTTTACTTGTTCAAAACTACTATTAATCATATAATCATCTTTCTCGACAATTTTTTTTGGGAACAAATTTGTAAACCCAAAATTTATAAAATCGCATTTGTGATATTATTCATTCTTGCACAACAAAAAGTACTTTTCTAGGGTTTTTTGTTTAGCTCTCTCTAAACCCTAGCCTCCCCATCTCTCTCTCTCTCCTTACCTCCCCACTTCTCTCCTTACCTCCCCACTTATTTTCTCATTCCCCATCTATTGGATTTGGGATTTTAATTGTAGGGAGATTACTTGTGTCTAGATCTGCTTAGATTTGTGGTGTTGTTGGTTGGTGTTTTAGTTGTAAGGTGACTGGCTGCAATCTCAATGGTGTTCTCTGTCTCCAAGGCGGCGACGGTGTCTGTGGTGATGGTGGCAACAATGGCGTTATTGGCTATGTTGGTTTTTGGTTGTTTGTTTGCAGTTTTCTTATTTTGTAATAATTGCATCAACTCATTGTGAGTTTGGTGTTGGATTGTTTTTTTAGTGCCAGTTTGGCATTGCTTATTTGGGGTGATAAATTATTTTTTCTAAATTTTAAGGAGCCCAACCCGTTTGGTAAACTATGATAAAATCATTTATTGTTAAAAATTGTTATGAGAGAAAGCTATAAGGGAAAGCAGCTAATGAGGTGCTTTCATTTTCTGATTATGTAGAAATCAGTTTCGAAGAGGCGTTGGATTTAATAATTGTGCGGCAATCATTTTTTGATTATGCATAAAATCAATACCAACAATATTTTTAACAAAAATTTTACCAAACGCCAAACTGCTTTCTCTCACAGCTGATTTCTCTCACAGCAAATCTGACAGCGATTATTTTCACAGCACAGCAATGCCAAACTGGCCCTTAGTCTCTACTTGTATTTTGTACTTGTGAGTTAAAAGTTGTAGTTGTATTGGTAGATTTGGGTACTGTGATTCATGTCTAGTTTGTTTAGGCATGCGGTTTTTATGTCGAAATTTCTCTGGCCTTTTGTGGCTTGTATCTGGATTAACCTTATGTGGTTACTATGCTTCCATAATTGTATTACCCCTTTGTGGGCATTTGTATTTGCCTTTATGGCTGATGGTCTTTGTGCCTAAAGAATTAAACTTAAGAAATTCATAATATAATAAGATTTTTTCTATTTAAACCTCACACTTCTCTTAGTTCACCATAATACTTAAATCATTAAACTGTAAGTTTTATTATTGTGTAAAAAGACAAAAGAGGTCATCCAACTTAATACTTAACCCTAATATATTTATACACACACCCCACAACTCTTCAAATTAAGTTTAAAAAAATAACAAACTCTTCTACATCCTATGCCAGATTAATTTTCTCTTTTAAAGACGTAGAACATTGACGAGCCTACCTCTTTGAAATATGCATGGAAGCTGATGGAAAGACTTGTTGATTGTTTCGCTGTAATGATCTTATTCTCTTCCCTTTGTTGATTGCTTTTTTTTTGTTGGTACTCTTGGCTATTGATTGCTTGATTGTTTTGATTTTTGATTTAAAATTTACACCTGATGTTTTGGTAAAATTGTTCTCTTTCTCTAGAAAGTATGGGGTAACTTCAATTTTTCTTCATATTATATTAATTGACATACACGTTCAAAAGGCACAAAACCAAGAGATTCATGGGAATATTGTTAAGTTGGGTTGTTATTATCCTGCTGAGAAGAGGGAGAGAAGCCCAAGCTTTGATAATGGTCCTACAATTTGCTTGGCGCATTGTATATCAAAAGACAAGTACTTCTACTTTGGCTATGGAGCAATGGATTGCTTTGTCTTCTTTCCTGTGTTTGATATGATGCTTTGATGGATTTTTTTTTTTTTTGTTTTTTTATCAAATCATCAAAAATTAATTTAATACTTACTATTTCTCATGCTCAGAACGTATTTTCTTCTCTAAAGGTAGTTTGTGGGGTTTAAATAAAAAATCTATTTTATTTCTTATTTTTTTAGCTTGGGGTGTATTTAAGGGTAGTTTGGGAAGATAATGGGGTTTACTTAGAAATTGTGAAATTTTAAATTAAAATTTGGGGTGAACTTAGAACATGGGGTGAACTAAGAGAAGTGTGGGGTTTAAATAGAAAATTGCTCCTGCTAAATTGGGATGAAAAATTATTACACAACCTAATAATTGGTGGGTACAAATAATGAGTAGTAAATATTCAAAATATCTTTTATTTTTATGTTTAAATTAAATTACAAGATTCTATGTTTGGTCTTAAAAATCGTCCTCTACTATTAAAAGGGATGAGATGGATTATTGGTAACGGTCAAATTATTATTATTTGTATGCCAGGACGGTCAAATTATTAAGTTCAAGTTTTTAATTGGATTTTTCCTTTTCCTCTAAAAATAATTATTTCTCATAATCTAATACCTAACATTGATGAAACTATGGTACATCATATATATATTTAAAGAAAGAGAATTGGGAGACATTCAAAATACCAAAAAATGTCTTCGGTTAATGCAAACATTAAGAATTTAAATTATTATTAATTAAATGAGGATAATATAATAAATTCACACTTTTTCATATCAAAAAATAATTAAAATTAAAAACAAAATCAGATAATGGGTTCTATT